CGGGGCGCGGGGCGCCTGGGCCTCCTCTCGCCTAGGGCGGCTCCCGCGGGTTCCGCAGCCCCTCCCTGCCCCCGAGCGAATCGGTCCCGCGGGGCGCGGGGCTCGTCGCCCACGCCCACCCACAGCCGCGCGCCGCGAAGTAGGGCCCGGGCTGGGTTAGGTAAGGCGCTGGCAGCGGGGCTGTGGTAGCGCCGATGGCCTTCAGGTAAGAAGCGACGGCAGCGCTGGGATCTGCCGCTGCTTCCCGTTGTTGCGGGGCAGCGGGACACGGCACAGCTCCTGCGGCCCGTGCAGGCGGCGGAAAGTGGGGGCTTAGCGATTGCCCCGATTATCCCAGGCTCAAAGGAATATGTCGTGCTAGCGTGTACAACCATTTGTGTTTCGTGACCTGCTGTAAGAGCGAGCACTGTTCAATAATCCTGAAATGAACTTTAAGAGAAGAAAATTCGTGATGATAATACTAGGCTTATAAAGGGAAGATTATAGAATAATCTGCTTTTTTTCTGAGTATCGCAAACCATTAACTTACACAGTTCTGTGTTCAACTTCTACCAACATTTTACAGACAGAAGTACAAGCAAAGCAGCTAAATGCCATTTGAACTCTAAAACGGTGTCGTCTAGCGGGGTTTCAATAGTACCCAGCCGACTGATCCGTCAAAACCAGGCGCCAGGTACTGGTGGACTTTTGGAGGTCTCACAATGGCATCTTTAAGCACCTGAAGACCTCCAGAAAATCTGTAGCACGCTGATAGAGTGACTGGCGCCAACTGATTAATACGATCACTTGCAATTGTCTTCACAGAACTGCTTAACGCAGTGCCGCATCACGATGTCTGACTTAGCTGCAAACAGGCCCATACATTTATTAGCACAGCACTGTGCGAGATCCATCTATTTGCTACATAATATGCCTGTATGAAGAAGGTGCTGTGTTGGTGTCAGTCAGCCCTGACTCTCATCTGCATCAGCGTAGCAACACCATCATGCTTTCAGCTCTGCAGACTGTTTTTCTCACCTCTAGTTCAGGTATTTCTGTGGAGTGCTGCATTGCAGACCAGAGATGTGCCCTAAATGTTTCTCTGCTCAAGTCCTCTGGAAGTCTTAAATGCATCTGAACACGTCCAGGCAGGGTTTAGCTCCCTGTAAAAGGTGCCGGTTTCCTCTAAAAGTTGAAAAAGGAACTGGTATTTGTATGTGACTCCTCTCTGTCACAAATCCCAGAGTTTCCATTAGGCTCCCTCTGTAATGCTGGTGGAGATTGAGTGGCTCAGAAGGGAATTCACAACAATTACCTGCCCGGTGGCGAGCTCCCCAGAGCTGGACTATTAAAAAAACCAGAGAACAGCATGTCTGAAATCCTCCAGGATTTAATTGCCTCACTCAGGGCTGCAGGAAACCTCTTCAACTACTTGTGTGCACCATCATACGCTAACAATGGGATTTAAAAACCTCTCAAAAGAGTCCGAGAGGAGCTCATACTTTCCAAATACACCTAGGAGAGGTTGTGTTGCACAATTTTTTATTTATAGAAAGCGCACTGGCAGGAAGAGAGAGCAGGATTCAAGCTCTTTTTCAATCTGAGTGGGCTTGAAGCCATACTGAGCAATCACTAGATAGTTTTACCAGGGAGATTTTGAACAAGCCTCAGACAAAACACTATGACGAGAAACTCTGGATTCTGCCTCTAAGTGAGCACCACAAGCACTGGGCCATACTTCCCAGTTTTCCCACCTCTAACTTAGTTCTCTAGCCACCTCTGTCTTGCTGGGCCATGCATCTTCATCCATTCATTCTCTCACCATTTCTATGAGCAGAGCAGAGGGTGTTCTAATCCCAATCCTGTCTGTCATTTAGGTGCTTCCCTTCATTTAGGAAGGAGAAAGGTGCAAGACTGAACCCATTTCAGTTCACAGGGAAGGAAGGAGCTGAAAAGGGAGATGAAACCACATCCCACGCTTCCTAGAAGAGTCCTGTTTCATTAAAAAGGTGACGGTGACCCCTACCTTTTTCCATTCTCTTCTAAAGGAAAGGGCCAGCTCTGCTATATTTCGTATTCTCTCCGTGTGTGCTCTCACGCTATTTACCCAGAGCTTAAGTAGCAGGAGAGTACCATTGTTTAATCCGTGCTTTTGGAAAATAGACAGGTGTTCAGAGAGGGACATTTCTGAACATCTACAGAAATTTGACAGGAAGAGCCAGTTAAATGGCATGGGAGCAGGGGATTATCAGAGCATTATCCCATCAATAGGTTTCTCAGGGCTAATCTCAATTTTGCTGGTAGAGATCAACTCAATTTAAAAAATAATTTTTATCCCTAAACTGTCACTAGAAGGCTGTTCCTGAGCCTCATTTCTTTAATAGTTAGGAGTCTTATTTCTACCATAAAATGATACATGGCCAGTTCATAACTATCTGCTCTTGTACTTGTCCTTTTACTTTAGTATCTCCTCTATGTCACTGACGTTTGGAGCGGTAAGCCTTATTCCCCGCCAGCCCTCATTCTGTGATACTCGGGGAGCTGAGCTCCTCTAGCTTCCTCTCATGAGAAAGGTGCTACAGATGCTCCCCGACCAGTTCTGCAACCAGTCCTTCAGATGGGGTTCACTACAGCCTTACACAGTCTTTACTAGGGAAGCTGAATCACTGATTCTGATTACCTATAATCATATTATGATCAGCTGGTAAATCCAGGTCCTTCCCCATCTCAGCTTAGACCAATTTTTTTTAAAATGTATTGTGATTCCCCAGTACACAACAAGAAGTTTGCTCACCAACACTGCACTCCCCTTCCTGTGTATGCCTGCTCTTTTTCAGTACCCGTTTTTATCTCTTTAGGCTGCTCCCTAACAGATCTTGCAATTTCTTCACTGTATCACCTCCAGCTTAGCAAATAGCTTCTCATGCAAAAAAAAAACCCCAAAAAACCATCAGCTGAGGTACATACGGACCGGATGGATTCCATTTCCCTTCCCTGGAGAAGCAGCTGTCTCATCAAAAAGGTAGATTAGTTTGACACACTGAACCTTTGGCTAATCACTGGCTATCTATCTCATTTCCCTTTTATCTCCAGGCCCATAAAGGTAATTGTCCTTCCTCCCAAAACCTATTCTAATCCCTTCTTTTTCTTTCCTTTTTTTTTCCTTCACATTTTTCAGTTTAATTAATTTAATTCCAGTCAATCCAAAATAATTTAATTCCAATTACAATGTTATCTGCCCTGCACATAGCTGTTTAGGATAAAGATCCTGGAGCTAGCTCTAAAATCTGGGATATCTGAAAAAGCTGATGCATCCTCGTCACAATCACTACCAACTAACCCTACTGCGGTTGTACAATACGCAGTTTCAAGATTGTCCCATTTATCTCAAGTATCGCTACATATACTATGCTGCAATCTGTATTGCAGGCATATCCTAAATCCTTTACTGAATCCAGTCCATAATCATTTCCCCATAGCTCCAGGAATGTGAAGTAAGGCCTGAAAGGCCACGTGATGGAAATCAAATATAGTTTGATGGGGGTACAATCTACCAGGAAACCTGCATGCAGCTTACAAACTTCTGTAAACAGATACCAACCCAACCCAATGTCTGACATGTGAATTCAACAGCTGTGCCATCTGTCCATCATTTAACCACCAAAAGCTTCTGCCTTAATCCTTTCCATTTAGCTACCATGTTAATTATGATATAGGCGTGCCATTTTCCTCAGATACAGATTAAATCAAATCTATCGTAAAAGAAGAGAGAAACTGAGAGTGCACTCATAAAGTGCCTTTAACACCTTAGAAAAAAGGTACCATTTAAGTACGAGGTTTGCTGAAGGCATACAATTTTTAGGAAAAGGAACCAGCAGGAGGTAACAGGAGCATTACTGGACAGGTGGCAAGTCATCAGGTCTGAGATCTTGGCCAGCCTTGAAGATCTGATGAGAATTTCTGTCATCGGGAAGAGAAGGATATGAGCTCAAAGAGATGATTGCTAAGCACTGCTTGGAAACAGCAAATGTTTTCTATGATCTTTTTGACTTTCAGGGATTCATCACTAAGCATTGATCTCTCACATGGCACTTTTCATAAAGCATTTTAGAAGAGATCGATGTATCATGACAACCGTTTTCATGGGGGAGGTGAAAAGGGATACAGCAGTGAAGTTGGCCCAGTATCACTCAGCAAGGCCAGTTTCAGAGTTGGAGGAGAAGCCTGATTTGCTGAGTGCTAAGCCAGATCAATAGCCTAGCACTTCTCCAGAAGGATGACAAAGTACCTACTAGAATTTCTGGAGCCCAGGAAAATTGCCGTAACTTGCTAGTACAGTCTGTCACGTGTACATGAGATTATTCTGGCCTTATCAAGGGATTAAAAACATCCAGGCCTCATCTCTGCCTAACACCTTTCTGGGAATGCTTTACTGTGAAAATTTTCTGAAGAAACACAAAGCTTTTGCTGGCATAGTTTAGGTGCCTTTGGTGAACAATGCAACCTTGTCTCATGATAGAAAGCCTCATTCTCCGCTCCCTAAAAGGATCTGAAGAGCAGAACCAAGGAATAGCTTACACTCCCGTTGAGATATCTTATGTGGGATGCTGCAAATTTACCCCTGTTGTTTCTATGCATGCAGGGGAGAAAGAGTATGAGCTATGCTATCTTTGTTATTCAGGTAACTCCTGTTTATGTTCCCCTGAAGATGCCAATTTGTCAGAGGAGTTATAATCAATAATTTTACTCCTTTTGTATGATCATCCTGTGTTACTTGGGCATGCCATAAGGGAATTCCTACTAGATTGGTGGCCAGAAGACTGTTAAACAGCCTTTAGTGTTTAAAATGCATGAGGAACCACAGGACGGGGAAGTGTTGAGTTACAGAGGGAGGTAGGCTGAGGACAAATACTGATCATAACCTGGACAAGGAGCCCCATTACATCCCTTGCGCCAAGGCCCCACATGCACACTGTGCCGCCCTTTTCACTGACTTCTGCCGCAGGGCTGTACGCTGGGGAGCGGGGACAGAGAAAGGATGTTTAAACTTTCCTGGTCAACATAAGTTTTCACCATTTTTCATCTGTTAGCAGCACCAACTGAAATGCCCTCACTACACTCTATACTAACCTTCACAGAGAAACTACACTTGGCACAAGCATCATTCTTGTTCCATTATCGGCTTCCAGTTCTGTTTAAAACAGTGATACCAACCAGCAAAGACACAGGCAGTTCGTGGGGATTTTTCTTTCTCTTTGCATGTCACATCATGGCCCATTAAGCTTGCAAAGGTCTCAGGTTAACTACTCTCAGGTTTCTTTGGCAAGAGATGCAAAGTAGGTCATTTTAGTGAAAGCTGCTGACCTGCTTTTCCTTTGGGCCTGATCTTCTAGCCTTAGAGTAAGATTTTAGGGTTTGGGTTCATAGTCTGGTGATTATGTTCCCAAGTGATTATGGTAGTGCATAATAAAGCTGTAGAAATTTAAATTGGTTTGTACACAGCTAATATGGTAGATGCTGATAGTTTCTGAGCGATTTTAGTGCAACTTCTAAGCTTCACAGCATAATCCTAATTATTGTTTTGAATTAAACTAAGAGGTCTGTTCTCTGAGTTTTAGTTGTGACTCTGGACTAACAGGCTCTGGTTTGGGCAAGGGGAAATCAACTGCGAAGATCTGCATGACAGGATGTGTG